CGTAGCAGTTTTATTAGTAGTGCCATATTCTCCGGGCTATTTTTGTGTATATGCCTGTGGATAGTTATATATCGGTATGTATCCCAACAAATTTCAGTTCAGACGTACACAGTGATGCACTTTTGGCCCTAATGCTGCTTAGATATTAAATTACCTACGGCCATGAGATAGGCTTCAGAAGCAGTGATGGTTCGATGAGGTAATATAAATTCGAAAACTTGACAATTGATTGATAAGGTGCAATTGCAGCGTAGTAGAGAAGCGCTTAATAGGACGGCTTTAAATTCTGAAGGTTATGGTTTCGAACCAGCTCAAGAGAACTTTAACCGTAACCGAGAATTCCTTTGAGCGATGAGTATACCTCACCCTGCTTCCGCGCAACCACTCGAGAAACTAGCAGTGTTTACTTTAGTAAGCCTGACACTTTTCATTCTGACGTTGTCATCAAACAGAAACTGGTGTGATTGAATCAAAATGTGTTCTTGAATTACAATCTTGTTTTTAACAGTTTTTCCCTGAGGATAAAATAAATTGCGTGAGTAGTAATTCCCTTCATTTTACTTCAAACATTTAAGCCGCTTTCGATCACTCAGCCAGAATATGCTAGCAACTCCTTGAATCCTTCGTTGTAAAGCTAGCTTTAACTGTTTAATACAGCTGGCCTGCTGCTGGTGATTTCATCGGCTTCAATGTCGAGTAACTTTTTTTCTCGCTAAGAAGCATGTCTTATCGGATACGTATTGCCAAGGATATTTTTTTATAACTACGCAGATTCACTCCCTTGAGTGTGCTTCAGTGCACACGTTTCGGAGGTAGTTACCTACAATAAGAGGGACGGAATCGCGCTCAATTGTTGTCGTAGCGTTGCGTTATACAACTAATACCATACTGCTAAACGAATGTACCTTCCAGTTGCAAATCGTCCTAATCCCCTTGATAACATGCCAAAATCAAGGTACTATGTAACCCGTACGTAAATGAGCAAGGGGAGCCACTATCGTAGGCTTCAGATATCGGCTTATTTGTTGAATGCTTTTAAAAATCTGGCTAATGTATGAAAAACCCGAAACGACCGGACGCTAAGATTAACTGATTAATTACTGAAATTCGATACTAACTTTCACTGCTATCAAGATTTCGTTCTCCCCTCAGATAGCTGCACTCTTGGTGACTGGAAAACAGCAGGAGTTAATATCATTGAGCACTGAGCTCTAATAGCTTCAAGCACTACTCTTTGTGCAGCCTTAAGTTATTATATACGATACGAACAACTGCAGACCTTCAGTTATGGGATGCCTGATTGGTAGTACGGGTTACCGTAAAAGATCTGCAATGGCAGAGCCCAAATTGGAAACTTCGTGAACGGAAGTGCACATGTCATCCACGTATCAACATTACAATCACAATAAGGCAAAATTCATGTAGCAAAACATACTGCAAGGCAACATATACGCATATTGAGCGGCGACGATTCTAGTCCGTTCAATTTGATGACCATGTCGCACAGCTCTTGTCCCTCCTCAGAGAAGCGGCGCGAAGCTCTGAGAAGTGACAGGAATTCCCTCATGGTCGAGATCAAGTTTCGTTGTTTCTTTGTACAACGGGAAAGTACCAATCGGTACATCTCGCACAGTGGCATTCTGTCGGCATTTCTAGAGTGCAATTCTTCGATGACCATATTTATAATTGCCTCTTCTTTTTTTCCGTCCGTAACCATGACGATGTCGCACATGGATTCTTCACTGTCAGTCATACTATCTTTGACGTCACCTGAAACCACAGAACCTTAAACAGTAAACTTATATAACAAAGAACGCGATGCGCTAATCTCGTAACAAGGCCTTACTTTGCAAAACACATTCCTCCATTCCGCGACGGTCTGTGACATAAGCTTTTAGCTTTCGGTAATATATGCAATAATGGCAGTCGTACGGACTGGCATTAAAACTGAAACAGAACCGAAACGAAACGGGAAAATGATTCTAAAAATAGAAGATAAACAAGAAGTCCTCTGGTCATTTGCAGCAACTTCGTATCACCCATTTCATGACGGGTTCTGATCTATACAAAATTAGAATATATTTAGCATTAGCGTAAGTTCTTCCATACTGCCAAGTGTTCGATGGTATATCAGCCCTTGTTAAGCTATTTACTAGAAAATAATACTTTTGCAGGTTTTCTTCTGAAATGACCGATCAACATCCACTATTGAATAGCTTACCCATGAAATGATAGCATTCTGCGAAATGTATCACGAATAAGTTTCTTGCTAACTAAACACTCGTGGGTCACAAGTGAACAAACAGCGACGGAGATCATTCAACTGAGCAGACGAAGGGCAGCGATGACTTATTTACTTGACTTGTTGGATGTCGCAAGGGGGCCAAGGCATCCCCACATATCTTGTCACTTTTTGTAATTGTATTCTGTTCTGGGCAATATCAGATACGATTGCAAGCGAATCAGCACTACGCCACATTTGGCTCCTTGTCTGCCGGTAACAGACAGTTTGTCTCTGATGCTACCTAGCCATAATATTGTCGGTCTCTCTCTCGGTCATTTCAAGAATGGGTTCGGCACACTACGAATCAAGATACGGATTAGCTGCTTTTCGTGCCATGGCCTAGAAGCGAGAGTTTTAGTTTTATTTTTCATATTCGCCAGAGGAAGGGTTGATATTTTTCCCCGCCTGGCGAACTCCATTTGTACTCATTCCAACGTCCTCCGGCAATTGTACATTCGCGATATTATCGATCGATCTATAGCCGAGTATTCTGTGCCAACACGAGCGTTCAAATACGTTCAGCGCTTTTAACTCTTTCTTGGTAAGGGTCCATGAAGCTGCAGCATGCATCAGTGTGCTGGTCGAACAGCTGTCACGTGCCTTCACTTAAGTACTGACAGCAGTTTTCCACAGATTGTGCTGCAGCATCCTATATACAATTCGAGCCCTGTTGATTTTTTCCTGTACATGAGCTTCCCACTACCAGTGATCACAGATCCAAGATAGCAGAACATGGTGACGCACTGCACATCGTCCACGTAACTTTTCATGACGATGGCATTTTCTGGAGCACACCGTGAAACTACGACTTTGCACTCCGATGTTAAAGTCTCAGTTCGTACTTGGCGCTGGCCTTTTCCATTGACGTCAAAGCCTTCTGAAGTTTTTCCGGGTTCATGGCAACGACCGCAACGTCGACAGCATAATCCATATCTTGTCACCGGCATAGATTGATGGAACGGATGAACCATTCGTGATGGTTGGAGTAATATTTAATTGTAAAAGTTTCTAACAGCATCTGTCATCACGACATCAATGCAATAGTTGAATAACATAGCTCCGGTGACCGACCCTTGCCGTACTTCGCTGTTGATTGGAAAGCTATCTGAGACCACTGAACCGTTGGCTGGCACCACCGTACCACCGCCATTTTCTTGGTGTAAACGTTTTTCAATATGTTAACAACTTTGTTAGGCACATCGTCATTTTTTAACTACTCGTACAGGTTTCGCAGTCTGGAGAATCAGAAACTGCCTCATAGCCAACTAATCCAGTGAACGGCGATTTGTGGTGTCTGTTGTATGTTCCTAGCAAACGGCGCAATGTTAGAATGTGGTCGATTGGCCCAGACAGAAACCACACTGCTCTTCTCTGGTACCATTCTTTCTGTAGCGTCGAACTGTGCTGACGATAATTCTTTCACTGACTTTCAGTGGCTTGCAGAGGAAACTGATTCCTCTGTAATTTCGGACATATGATATAGCGCCATTTTTGTGTACCTGAAAAGTTACTGCTGCTTGGTACCACTCTTACGATATTGTCTCTGTTCGCCAAATCTCATAATATCTGCAACTCTGCGTTAAGCATACGTCTTAACAACTCCACCTAAATTTCATCTGGTCCAGCTACTTTATTATTTTGCCCTTCTTTGAAAGCATTTACAATCTATTCGCCAGTTGGTACATTAACGCTACGGTCATAATGAGACATGCTACTTCGCTGAAAGCATTTAAGTAGTTGGCAGGGGTCGGTTCATAAATTGCTGGAAATGTCTGGGAAATCGCTCGGAACATTTAAGTCCTATGAACTTGCGCGATTCATCCTTAGAACCAACGAATGACGGGCTGAAATTATTTTTTCAAACGAATTATTATTATTTAAAACGAACGCTCGACTAAGATTATTGTACTTTGAATGCTTATTCCATTGAAATAGCTCGTATCAGCCAAAGTGCGTTTCTTTCTTCAGCTAGATGGCATTTCGGTTCGGTTTCCTTTTCTTCTGATGATGTCTTATTTCCTGCAAGTCTGGCTCTTTCCGTTCCTTCGTCAGCTTCTCAGTCCTTCCCCTCACAGACTGACAAATACTTTCTGTAGTTGCAGAAATCACCATACGTCATAGGCAATTGCCATTCCAGTGTCTGGTTGAACGCTGTGGAGCGTTCAGTCTGGAGTTTTCTGTAACGATGCCACATTAAATCTTGGCATCGTCTCAAACCACTTGGCAGCAATATACAACAACATCGTCAAGACCAAGACCTCCGGGACATGGTCGGACAGACAGGCACATTTCCAAACACTTTAGGCCGTCTTACTATATGCTTCCAACGGTCACTTACCGGTATGTAATCCAAGTGTAGCTGCAAATTTGTTCACCCATGCTCTTTCTGCTACTCAGTAGTCAAAATTTGTGGTCCTTGCCATGTTGGTCTTTGCGAACATCGATTTCGATTCAGGGTCGTTGCAGTTAACGGGTTGAATCTTTCAGCTGAAGTTGAGGAGCATCGATCCATTTTCTGCAGTCGTTTTTCCCCGGCAAATTATGCTTGGCATCCATTACACGGATTATAAAGTCGTTCGAAGGTATGGCACCAAGTAACTGCTCAAGCCTATCGTAGAAACGGTTCCTTCCTTTTCATCTGTAGGCGTGTTGGCGGTTATAATCCATGTTGTTCTGAAAGAATTCGAGATCTCGATTCAGCATAACCTTGGGACTGATTGTCCCCATTCTTCTACAACGCCTTCGTAGTCGGAGGTTACTGCGACTCTGCAACCATATATACCTTCTTCAGCCTTTGATTCGAATAATACACAAGATGCCTGGTCATCAGGATAGTACATTTTGTGACTTCATTTTTCCTGAATCTCGTTTTTCAGAGCACACGATCGATGAGTTTAGACCGTTCAAGGATCTGGTGACGGCAGTGTCTGTCTTCACCTTTCAAAGACTGACAGTTCAAGGTAAAAATATTTAGTTTCTTCCGAAGTCGAAACAACTTCAGTAGTGAAGGCTAGCGATATCTGCATAAACACTTGACACGGCCGGCTGAATCATGGATAAAGTACCATCTTAGTAGAAAATACACTTTGTACAAAGTTTTTTGGTACAGGACCAAGGTTTCGGCTGATATTACCAGCCCTACTTAACTGCAGTGAGAATGATATACAGAGTTATGACAGCATGAGACAGAAACTTGTAAATATATCTTGACTACCTCGTGCTATTGTACGTTTCTAAATAATACTCATAACGTACTTTCTCTTTGCTTGAGCAGTGAGTTCCGATCAGAACAAAATGGTCTCATCACAAATTACGAATAGAAACTGTAGAGGGCGCAAAGGATAGGCAGAGACAGACAAACATGTTGACCCTAAAGCGTGTACTGCTAAATAAGCACATGTATAACCAAATTATAACACAGTGCTTACAGAGTGTGATGGATATCACACTGAATAGCTAGCCATCACGTAGATCAAGAAGAGCAGCCCTCAGAGCTCTCGACAGCACGGTGACATTTCTCGCCCTTCATGTATGACACATCCAAACGCCATGCTGTTCTTGTTGGTCGTAAGTCAACGGTCTTCCACGCGTTTCTCCGGTGGTTGCAATGAAGCAAGGTGGGGTGAATTTCTTGCTTACGAGAATTTGCAGTTAAGAGAAAATTTCTGTTTCGGGACTCGAACACGGCATCTACCGGTGTACCACTGATCACTTGGAACGTCGATAATACAATTATGGACAATAAATACAAAATTAACTACACTGCACAAAGACGAAATACGTGAAATACA